CCAGGCTGGCCTCGAACTCACAGAGATCCGCCTGGCTCTGCCTCCCGAGTGCTGGGATTAAAGGCGTGCACCACCAACGCCCGGCTAAGATTTTATTTTCTTATTAGTTCACGATAAACACACCAACTTTTTACATAGTCAAATCTTTTCTCTTTTGCTGTTGCGTCTGCTGCCAGAGTTAGGTCTTCCTCAACCCACAGTTCAGGTAAATAGTTCATTTTTTACCCATTGCATTAATGTTTTATTTTAACCCTCAGTTTAAAAACCCTCACTTAACGATTGAAAAGTTGGTATTTGGGGAGGCTTTCTGATCCCCGCGCATTTGAGTTAGACATTGGCAGGTGTTATTTGTTCGCTGTCCCCATGTAGCTCTTGACAGCTCGTCGCTGTTTTGAGTGCTGCTGGTCGTGACTGACAACCCTCCCTGTGGCCTGTGAGGTAGGTTTCCGCTGCCCGGTCCAGGGCGCTGGCTCACTCCGGGTCACCGTGCTCTCAGGACAGGACTGGTGGTCCACCCTGCCTAGGCTGGCCACATGCTGAGCCCTTGGCACACATGAGAATTTTTTTTTAAAGCTGTTTTTATTTATTTATTTTTGTTTTACATGCATTGGTGTTTTGCCTACATGGATGTCTGTGTGAGGGTGTCAGATCTGGGAGTTACACATCTGTGAGCTGTGAGCTGCCATGTGGGTGCTGGGCATTGAACCCGGCCGGGTCCTTGGAAAGAGCAGTTAATACTCTTAACTGCCGAGCCACCTCTCCAGCCCACCTCTGAGTTTTAATGTGTCCATCTTTTTCTACTGATAGGAAGTGTCATCTTTAGTGTACTAAAATATTCACCGGCTTGGGCTTTCTGATATGTTTCATGGGTTTTGATGACGTTTGTCTAAAACTATTGGAATTTTATAATGTTTCAAAAACTGGCAGTTTAAATCTTTTCTTTCTGTATTGAAAAAGCCTTTTAATGAGTAACAATTTAATTTTCCCAAAGGGTTTTAGAATTAATTTAAGTTTCTTCCTGCCTCATCAAAAAGTATCTTTAGATTTTAATAGATTGACATGAACGTTTAAAGATAATTTGAGGAGAATTGATGGCTATCATATTCATTGGAGAGCATTTTTTTTTTTCACTGGTAACAGTCTCATATGGTTGGCTAGGAGAGAGATACAGGCTTTGAGGACAGGAGAATAAATAAACTAGGGAACTACCATGGTCCTAGGAGAAGCTGCTCTTCTCTATAGACAAGTGCTGCCATAGTAACCAGGGTTGACAGGATCCAGTTAACACCAGA